GCTGGAAGGCATCCATGGGCACCAAAAACATCAATAGCCCAAGACCCTGAGGCTGGGCAGAGGCACAGGTAGATTTTGCACTCTAGCTGCCAAGGACAGGCTACACTGTAGAGTATCATATGAATCGATGGAGCTAGAGGTCCTGGGAGACAGAAAGGCCATCGATTCATTCCACAAAGGAGGAACCAGGGGAAGCGGCTGGCCTTCATGCAACCCTGCAGGGAAGTGTGTGTGTGTCTTCCAGCCCTGGAAGGCCTCAGTATCTGTGGCTCCTGTTTCGCACCCAGATGGGCTGTTAGAATGGTTGTCTTAAACATTATGTGTATGTGCACCGGTTTCCCCTACTGGGTGAATCTTCCCTATGAGCTCACCGACTCTTTGAGGGTAGGGCTTCTCTACTACACTTCTATTTCCCTCTCTGAGTCTGTCTCACATTCCCTAGTCCATCTCCAAGGCCATAGCCTCCCAGCAGGCCTCTAGCTTCAGTCTAACAAACCCCTTCAGGTCTCATCTGGGAATGGAAAGAAAAGCAATGGCTCCTAAGTTTATCAAGAATGAAGCTTCCTCCCTTCCTTCTTCCTTCTTTCCTTTTTCCCTCCTCCCTGCCCCCTTCTCTCTCTCCCTCTTTCTCCCTCCTTTTCTTTCTGGTGCAGGTATATGAATTTTAACACCTGGATAGACTTGTGTAATCACTGCCACAACCAAAACAGCATCGTCATTCTAAGAACACCGCTTTTCCTACCTTTTTGTAATGATACCCTTCCCCCACCCAACCTCTGGCAACTACTGGTCTGTTCTTCATCATGAGAGCTTTGTTTTTTCAAGAACGTCATGTGAAAGGAATCATTCAGTATGTAACTTCTGAGGCTTTGCAGAAGCCCTGTGAGAGTCCCTCAAGTTGCATGTATCAGTAGTTCTGATCTTTTTCACTGCTGAGTAATTCCATTGAATGGATGTGCTGCAGTTCTTTTAATCCATTCATCTCTTATGGACATTTGGGTTGTTTCCAGCTTCTGATGATTATGAATAGAGATTCTGTAAATATTTACATGTAAAGTTTTGGGTGAACGTAGATTTTCATTTCTCTAGGAGAGCGATTGCTGGTCATACTGTAACTCTATGTTTAACTTTATAAAAAACTGCCAAGCTGGTTTAAGAGTGACTGGTGTACCATTTTGCATTTCCATTGGTAGTGCATGAGTTCCAGTTACATGGTATCTTTGTCTGCACTTGATATTTTAAAATTTTAACCATTCTAATAGTTGTATGGTTGTATTTAGCTGTGTTTAAATTTGTATTGCCCTAATCAATAATGATGTTGAACAACTTTTCATATGTTTATTTGCCATCCATATATCCTTTTAGTGAAGCATCTATTTAAGTCTTTGGCTCATGTAAAATTAGACTGTTCATTTTCTTATTGTTTAGTTTTGAAAGTGCTCTATATATTTCAGATACAAGTGCTTTGTTGGAAATGTGATGAAAAAGTATTTCTCCCAGTCTGTGAATAGTCTTTTCATTCTCTTAACAGCATTCTTTGCAGAGAATACATTTTTTATTTTGATGAATTCCAATTTGTCAGTTTTTCTTTCACAGGTTGTATTTTTTATGTCATTTATAAGAACTCTACCTAGGCTCAGATTAAAAGATTTTATTCTAAAAGTTTTGTGGTTTTATATTGTATATTAGATCTGGGTATATTTTGAGGTAATTTTTGTGTTGAGGTATGAGGTTTAGGTGGAGGTTCTTCTTTTTTTTCTTGGTCTATGGATACCTTCTTGTTCCAACACTGCTAGTTGAAAAGATGACCTTCCCGCTTGAACTGCCTTTGTCCCTTTGCCCAAAATCAGTTAATCATATTTGTGTGGGTCTGTTCCAAGGACTGGCAAATGTGTTCTGTGAAGGACCAAGAGTAAACAATTTAGGATTCATATAGTAGTTCACTACTGGTTCATATAGTGTCTGTCTCAGACCCCCCCTTTGTTCTTTTCTTAGCTGAAAACTATTCTTAACTAGCAGGTCATACAAAAATAGACGATGGGCCAGATTTTGTCTCTGGGCCCTAGTTTGCCAACCCCTGATCTGCTTGGTTCCATTGATTTGTCTTCCCTATCACCAATATCACACTGTCTTAATTATGGCAGCTTTTATAGTAAGTCTTAAAATTAGAGAGGGTGAGTGCTCCAACTTTGTTCTCTGCCTTTGAATTGATGCTTTTAGACCATTTTCATTTTATTTAATTATTGATATGTTTGAATGTAGTTCTTCCATTTTATTCTTTGTTTCTTCTGACTTTTTGTTCCTGTCTCCCTTTTCCTGCCTATCTTTGGACTGTGGGAATGTTCGCTTTAGTATTCCATTTCACCTTATCATATTTTGTCATACATCCCTTGGTATAGTTTGCATGTTAACTGATTGCACAGTATAGGTGCTGAACTTTTCTCAGTCTACATAGACTCTATACTTTCCCACTCACATGGAATATTGTTATTTAACCCCATATGGGTCTGTGGGTCCCTTAATTACCTCTCTTTATGATACATCTGCATACATTGAAAGTCCCATCAGTCTGCTTTCAACTATTAAGTACATCTGTCAAGAACTCAAGGGCAAAGAAGAGTCTATAGTATTTACCTAGATACTTAAGATTTCTGTCACTCTGCCTTCATTCCTGATGCTCCTGATCATCTCCTTTCTGCCTTTGGAGCAGATCTGATGGTAATGAATTCTCTTCATTTTCCTTCATCTGAGAGTGTCTATTTTATCTCCATCTCAAAGGATATTTTCATGCATCTTTTCTTTCTTTTTCTTTCAGCATCTAAAAAATAGTCTGTTTACTCTAGCTTCCATGCTTTCTCATGAAATCCAATTCCTTTAGACAACCTCCTGTTCAACTTTGAAACCTAGATCAGGGCTTATTTCTTATTTAAACTATGCTTATCTTATGTGCTTGCTCCATGCCCCTGCCAAAAACTGATCACTCCTTTCAGTGCATGACATCATTGCCCACATCACTCTCCCTGAGTGACTCGGTCACATGTTGTTGCTCATCCACCTGTTCTCTGTCATGTGCACCAGTTGGGGAGTGGGGAGAGACAGAGACAGCAAAAGAGAGAAGCAAAGGAGGAGGAGATTAATGAGACTGAAGACTGATTACTGTTCAGGAACCTCACGAACTCTGAATTCAGAGAATATTTCTGCAATTGAACTAATTAGAAAATGAAGGTCTCACGTATGGAAGACAGCCAGCATGCAACCACATAGGTGGGTCTTCTGTGCCCATCCAGGTGTAGGAAATTCCCAGATGGTTTAGGAAACAGTTACGAGGGCTTATGTAACTCTGAGTACATTCACTTATTCATCAAGTTTGAAGGTCCTCGGTAACATTGGCACCTTTTTCGGAGGACTTCAATGCTTGCACCCAAAGGAAATATGCATTAGTGATACATTTTCTGAACTAGGGCAGGCTATTCTGGAGTTGGAAGCACCCATCAGAGACTCTCGGCTCACAATGACAAGGCAGCGACTGGTTCCACCACGAGACTGGGCTGTTAGAGCTTAGGTGTCTGCTCAGCCCTCAGTCTCCCAAATCACAGCCTTCTTCCTCTTTCTGTTGTTCCTCTTCCTCCTCCTCCTTCTCTCCCCCACCCATATCCAGTACAAAATCAAAACTCAACACTACTTAAGGACAGCTTCAAAGATTTTGTAGCTTCATCTGTGTTCAGAATTCTTTGTAGACATCTGTGGATGTGGCATCATGTTCAAATACTTTCTGAAAGGGCCAAGATCCAATTTCTACCCATCTGTCAAAGCTTTGTTTACTTCTCCCTCCTCCATGAAGCTTCCTAGAACTACCTGATTTGGAAACAAACTCAGCAGAATTAATGAAAACTGCTGATGGGCTACCATGAGTGGGATACAGGAGACTAGGGAGATCAGGCATAGTTTCTGCCCTCAAAGAACTCACAGCCTACCAGGCAGACAGAGGTAAAGAATGACACAGTAAATATAGGCTGTGCCCTGTGTTTATCAGTGCTGGGGGAGCCAGTTTACTTCTGGGGCTCTAGAAGTAACAGGGGTTTCAATTCTTTTGTAACTTGCTTACAGCTTTTCTGGACCTGAATTCATTTGATTGACTTAGATACATGGTTTTCAGACTCCACTCTGTGGACCCATGTCTATGCTGCTTCTTGCTGGGTGCAGGGGTGCCCAGGGAAGAGGGGATTGGGATGTGTGTGAGTTCTGGTCTCCTGCTTCCAACTTTAGCCAGATCAGCTCCACTTTTAACTGTGTCCTGTACCTTGTATACTAGTTTCATTTCATTTCTCTCTGGGCCCTAGTTTGCCAACCTCAACAAAAGGTTGTATGAATTTTAAAGTTTGAAAGTCAGTGAGATGACCAAGGTAGCCATGCCCATGGCACTCAACTCACAGGGTCTCCACAGAAAGGATTTTGTATAGATTTAATCTTGGAAAAGACCTCAGGGCATGTCAGGTTATTGGCAGCTCACAGGACTTGCAAATGCTATTAGGTACACTGGCAAATGTTTAACAGCTGGCTCTCTGGGAGTAAGGAAGGGCACATCCTGATTTGTAGTATTTGCTGATTTCCACGGTGTAAATTCTAGCAGCATAGCTAATTTCAAGTTATAATGTGAAGTCTCTAAATGAAGTGTTGGGAAGAGATGCACATAATAGGCTTAGGAGCTGGCTTTGGAGTGTCTCTGGTTACAGGGTACAGATTAGTGACCACACTGTCTTCCCTTTTTGAGTTTAGAGCCAGCTAAAATACAGACTGGATAGAAATAGAAGCCACAATGTCAGTCTCACTGTGCTCAAGGCTGGTGAGATGTGGAGGTTGGCCATTGTTGGGATACATGCCCACACTGGTCTACAGGAGGCACACACTTCCTCTTGCATTGATTTGTGACTCAGTCATGTGACTTGCTTCCTGTGCCAAGCCTAGCCCTTCAGAGGCTGCCTGGGTTTTGTTTGCCCTTTTGTATTTGTGCTGTTGCCCTGCAGCAGCCAGGGAGGAGCCCCAGGAGAAGGCCCAAGCTGCCTCAGCAAGCCCAGCATAGGCAAGTCCCTCAGCCGACCTGCAGGCTTTTGAGGTAAATATATGCTGTTGTTTCATGCTTTGGGGTTTTGTGGTATTTATTAGACAGTATTACTGGTTATATCTGTAGCTCTAGTTAACTTATTCAGAAATTGGTACTGAGAATGGAAGGCTGCTGGATATATAGCAATAGGTTTGAAACTGGGTAGTAAGGAAATTTAGAGGAGGTTTGAAAAGTGGTAAGAAAAATGGTGGTCTGTGGTATGTGGTGAGGAGCTGTTTGGCAAAATTATTGCTGAGAGTAATTTGGGAGAAATTATTCCTCTGAATTTGTGGAATTTGGTAGGCTGGGTTCCAGGCAGGATACTAAACATGAGCTTCTTTGAGCTGTACATGATAAGGCAGTACAAGTAAGAGAGGAGCTTAGGAAGGAACTAGCCGGTTTAAAGCAGAATTTGGAAAATGAAGTTATTTCTCATCTCTCATCTCTCCAGCCACTAAAAGGTGTTCAGAGTGAGAGCTGGCCTGGGTGGTAGGGACCAAATCCAGCGCAATGCCAGATAAACACAGCCTCAGAGTAAAGATGAAAGTGAGGATTCCCTTTGTCTTGTGGGCCTTAAAAGGAATGAGGTGGCTCTAGAATATTCTTTCAGTGACAGTAGGGTGTCGAGAAACCTTCAGGGCATAGTTCCACAAAGTTTGATGTGGGGTGCCAGCAATCAACTGTAGACAGAAACATGTTGCCAGAAGAATTGTGGGTGTGCCTTTGGCAGGCAGAGTGGAATCAAATATGTACACACTCTTCATGCTCAAGGGCTGAATGGGCAAATGCATGTATGCATGGAGTGAAGGGGATTGAAGGTTTCAACATAAAGGACCTCAGACTCCCAACTTCATTCAGGCAGGAAGAGGTTGAGAAGTTACTCTGTGCCAAAGGGGGCCTACTTTCTAATGCTCTTTGGAGGATGAGAGGTCAATGGGAAATGAAGAATCCCAATGGTGGAAGCTGGAGCTGTGGAGCAGAAAGGACTGGAGAGCCACTCAGGGAACACTTGACCCCTCAGTAGATGCACTGGAAGCTTTTGCCAAGCAATTCAGATGCTGTGGACAGTGACAGAGACAGGAGTGGGAACTGCGGTGACTCCACCCTGTCCCACCACCGTGTGCTGGTGTGTGTGTGTGTGCATGCATGAGTGGGGGAACAGAGACGTTCTCTTTCTAGTTCATAAGTCTCTGGGTTCAGAAGAGAAATATCCAGAGAGATGTAGACCACAAGATCCTAGACTCTGAGCCTGATGATTGATTGTATAGACTTAGGGTCCTTGGGTGAGTATATTCTATATGTGGGAGGGACATAAATCAGTTCCTATGAGAGCAGACTGTGGTGGATTGTATTCTTGTTAAATATTTGCTCTCTCCTTCTCACTTGCATGGGAGAACAGCTCCTGATGCCATTGGTGTTGTCTCTGATGTTTTGGTCATGTGTCTTGCTTTGGCCAAAAGAGGCAGGTGAAGCTGATGGTGCACTGATTCTGAGCTAAAGCCTAAAGAGGACCTGCAGTTTTCTGCTTGCTTTGTTGTGCTTCTGCCATCGTAAGGGGACGTCCAGGCCACAGTCCTGGTTGTAGGAGGAAGATGAGAGTCATGTGTAACAGATCCAAGCTGCTCCAGTCACACTGGCTGATTAGCTGCCTCCAGCAGAACCACAGAGCTATTTAACCCAGCCAAACCTAGATTAGCCGACTCTCACTTGGCCCAGATTCACAAGCTAAATAGATGTTTATTACGTGGTACTGAGGCTTTGTGGATATTGTCATGCAGCATGACTATGACCGTTACTACTTGAAACAGAGCAAATGGCTGAGTTGAATGGCTATGATTGGCTTCTCCATACTGTGGCTTATCCAGTCTAAGGCAGATGGAACAACTTTTGGCCTCTCCTTGCTCCCAAAGCAGGACAGAGCTGCTTCCAGAGACTTAACGTGGAGAAGCAGGAGAGGTGTGAGGCCTGAAAATGGGCTTTGAAAGAGGCAGAGGAAAGGGCCCGCTAGGCATGCTTAGTTTTCCTCCCAAGTGTGCAATCAGCTAAGAGACCTTCCTAGGGAGGAGTGAGGCCAGGAGTACTACTCTACTGTAGTCTTCCCACTAGGAAACCATGGCCAAAGAAGTGATAGTTCCCCTAACACACAGTGAAGACTCTGGGATGGCTTACAGAAAGGAAACCTGCTAAATTCCACTTTCCTTGGGGGTTTCCTATACTTATTTACAAGAGAACCCTCTTCAGTCTGCTCGGTTATGTCCCACAGAGCTAGTTTTGAGCTGAAAGCCTTCTATGCAGCTTTGGCTTCCAAATTCTCTGCATTAGGTGCCAAGGTTCTTCTTATGGAGAGGAGGGGGCTGAGGGGGCGGGGTTGTGAGTTCTGAGGCCCAGTATGCCTGGCCTTACAGAAGGCGCCTTCTTCCCCTCAAACCCAGTCTGGGCACTCCCCTCCCTGTTCTGTCCTAGTTCAGGAATTTGTCCCAGGCCTCATGCCATACTCACAGGACCCTTCAGGTTCACTGCAGTGCCTGATCACTGCCCATGGTTGACAGCTGTCTTGCTGGACCCAGACCCTCCCTGTGTACCTGCCCGGGGAGCCTCCTAGGGCTCAGAGTCCCTGCTCATGGCTTTTTCCCACAGCCCCTTCACCCAAGGCTGGCTGCGGGTGTCCTGGGTCCTGCCTGGCCTGCCCTGCCTCTTTCCTTTTGCCCCAGAGCCCGGGATGTGCCTGTGCTCTCCCTGCCCCACATGTGCACATCAGACTGCCTGTAAAGAGGGGATTCTGACATGAGTTGTTTTTTGGGACCATACCTGGATCTGGTGTGCATGGAGCTCAGCAAAGCAACTTTGTGTTCAGACAGGCTCAGTGAAACAGCAGCTAGTCAACGTAAAATGTCAAACCTTGCTCACCACCCATTCCAGAGACAACAAATAGCCAGTAAATGCCTCACCATTAAACATTTCTTGGGGAAGGCAGGACAGCCAATTTTGACATTGCTGGGAAAAAATACAGCCTAATTTCTGTTCAAATGCACCAAATTTACTGCCTAGGTTCTCATTAACTACTGTCAAGGAAGAAACAGATAGACAAAATAAATTATGAAAAAATTACTTTTTTAATGTACAAAAAGACTTATTTACAGGTTGAGCATGTCATCTCAATTCATAGCATGTAGAAAAAGCTAAATATTTTGGAGATATCAATTTGGCTGGATGACTCACCTACAGTATTTTCAGGGATGAAATCTTCTATACAGACTATACACAGGTAGGGAATGGCTAGGAGAATCCTAGCTCAGGGAGGGAATGGACACCACCACACAGCTGAGACCCTTAGAGGTGTCTCAGGGCTGCTATTTGGAATTGGCTGTCTTTGGACCTAACATAGCCCCTGATGTTCTGGGATGCAGAGGGCCCAGATAAGGTTTTGGAGCTCATAGTGGTGCAGCTGGTTTTGGTAAAGTTGCCACAATTCAACAAGGGAAAGGTGTGAGGGTGTGAATGTGTATGGTGGGGAGGATGCATCAATTCACTCTACAATATGTTCAGAAATGATGTCTTCTGTTGCCAGTTCCAAATTCCATTTCTAGGTGGGGTTTGGTCACATTGAACAGGAAAATTCAGTGACGATCCCTCAGAGTCCCAAGAATCAACCCCTTCACCCTCCCACCCCCACCAAAAACACCATGCATATCATCGTACTCTGCAAAATGAACAGGAGGGCAGAGGGAAGGGAATCCAGAAGACAACGGACTGCATATTGTGTCTTGGCATAGACACTTGGCTGCCTATAAGTGGACAGCATGGCTTGGAAGAGTCTGGCCAGAGGCTGCTGTCAAGTCCTAGGGGTTTCCATGGTAAAGTGGGCAGACAGTGCATTGGAGAAAGAAAACTGGGTAAGCATGCGACTTCCTCCTCAGGGGCAACACAGGGCAGCCTGAGGCTGGGGCCCTGGTGTGCACCCTCGCTTTCCTGAGGCCCTAACCCACACTTCAGCTCATCCTGGTCCATCCCCAACCCACAGCAGCTCCAGCAGCCCGAGATATTTAGTAATAAGTGTTCTTTTCAGGGGGGGCTACATTCTACATGCATGAATACTGTAAACATGGTCTGGAGAAGCCAGGGCAGCTTCTGGGCTTGCCCCAAGTATTACATTTTTTTCTTTCCTTTTTCTGGCAGTACTTCCATGCTTTACTCATTTATATACACTCAGATAGTCTTCCAGTTGCACACTCAGCTTTGCAGAGTAGAGATGCCAGCTCTACCAAACCTGGAACCCGGATGTGTTTCCAAATCATACAGGTAAAATCTTTCATTCTTCCTGTGGCAAGGGGTGGTAAGAGGTCTCAGGAATTAAGCTTCATAAAATTCCTCTACTTTGTAGGTACTGTAATGAGAAGCTTATCTTCCTGGATTGGAATATAAGCTGGATTGGAATATCCGGTATGGCTTTCAGATTCAAATCCAAATGTGGTTCCTCGAACCTCTTCCTCAGGTACTTGGAAAGCCCTTGACTGATGTAATCCCTCATTAGCCAAATGACACAGGTGAAGAAGCCAGAACAGAGTGGTCCGATAAACACCAAAGGCTGGGAAGCACTATGTAAATGAGTTTTTCATTCATTCCTGCCTTACTTTTCCCATTGAGACTTTTTTCAGTGTTCTGAAAAACATCCCCAAAGACCAGACAGGATGCACATAAATCTTCCCTTAAAGCATTTGGGGTCTGAACTACTCATTGGCAAAACTCCCTCAGACCTACTTAATACTATTTTGGAAAAAGATAAAATGGACAAAAGTCCCCCATTCTGGGAAGTGATGCTCCCCTGGGTCTGCTCAGGGCCAGGGGCTGGGGCCTCAGGTCATCATGTTCAGGAACTTGCTCTCCTCTGCCAGGCTGGTGAGCATGGAGTTCATGTCTCCAACAGCCATGTTGCTGATGCCAGCAGGGATGGAGGGCAGAGTCACGGAGTTCCGGGGGGTGGTGAGGCGGGAGGAGGTCTCAGAGAGGCTGTGGAGGAGGCTGGGGCTCAGGCTACCTGAGAGGAAGCTCGAGTGATCGCCATCATCCATGATGGCTTCAAAGTCAATCGGGGGGGCCTCCAGTAGCTGGGAGTCCACAGTGCTGGACACGTGGTTGATCGCTGGTGAGGGCAAGGGTTGGGGCTGGAGGCTGTCTGGGCAGGCATGTGGCTGTGGTGGCTGGGGCCGCATGACCCGGCAACCTCCATGGTTTTCCAGGCCTCCATTCTGTTCGTACATGTGGATCTGGCCATAGTAGCAGAGCATGCTGTGGTTCTGGGCCCTGCCTGTGTTCTGTGTGGGCATCTGAGGAGGCAGAGACATCACGCTGCTCATTGTCCCCTTGGACACAGCTTTTGTCATCTCCTGACTGGCCGACACAACAGCCATGGCCTGGCTAGCAGCCCTGGCATAGGCCAGCTGCTGCCCAGCACGTAAGCCATGGTGGCAACCAGCAGGGCTTGACTCAGGGGGTGGCCGAGGCTGCATAAGGCCAAAGCTTGATCCAGCCATCCCCATTGTGCTTTGCTGGGACTCCACAAAGCCAGGCTGGTGTGAAGGCAGAAGGCTGGGGCCCTGGCAGTAGCCCTCCTGGTTTGTGGGAGCTGTCAGGTGATGGCTCTGCTGTGGGTAGCTCTGGGCTGGGTGAGAAGGTAGCATCCCAGCAAGGGTGGAATTGGGCATCTCAAGTTCCCTGTGGCTGCTGCCCATCACGATGGGGTCAGGAGCAACTTCCATTTGTTGGAGGAGCGCCAGGTGGCCTGATTTAGCTGTCATGTTGCTGCAGGATGTGGGGAACTGGTTCAGTGCTGAACCCATGATACTGGGACTCAGGTGGGGGTGGGCTTGGCCATAGCTGGTGTGGGGGCTCACAGAGGTGGTCATGCTGGAACCCTGGCCACCTGTCCCTGGCTGCTGCAGGTGGCGCAGATAATTTGTCCTGGGTGCAGATGGGGCTCCGCTGTAGGGCTGAACGAGTGGCTGCGTGCTGTCCAGGCCTCCTGGGCTCTGCTGCAGGCCTTGTGGACTGTAGCCTGTGTACTGGCTGAAGGCTGGCTTTTGCTGCACTACAGCCAAGTTGCCCTGTGGGAAGGGTGGAGGCTGTACTTGGCTGGCCAGAGCATCCATGGTCCCAGAGCTTACCTCATTCCACTGTACAGGCATGCTATTTTTGTTCAGGCTGGAGGGGGTGACAAAGCCCAGCTGGCAGCCTCTCACAGGGGTGGAGAGGCCCACGTTGGAGTCTGCAGCCACCATCCTGCATTGCTCATGTAGCCCTGGACTGGGCACTTTGGGGTTCTCAGAGAAGCAGGTGCTTTCTGAGGGATATACCTGCAGGGTGTTCTCCTCCAGGGCACTGCTGGCATGTGCCTTGATGTACTGCAACACGTCATCAGGCAGCATGAGGTCGTCCTCTGGCAGTACAAGATTGGCCTCGGGCCTGGTGCTGCTCGTCCCGGTCGCCAGGGCCTCCATCACAACGTTCTCGCTGATGCTGGGTGGCCGTGGGGAGTAGGTACCCCGGGACACGCTGTAGTCGGCGTTCGGGAGGTGCTGCAGGCGGAGGCCTCGCCTCTCGGTGCAGGGCAGTGGTGGGGCTGGGTTCACATTGTGCGTGCTGTGGAAGCGCTGTACCTGTGGGGCAGCTGGGATGTCCAGCCGCCTCACCGGGTCGCTGGCCCGCCGTGCACCCCTACCCGGCGTCTCCTGGGGGAAGGCGGGAATGGGTCCCGCATGGCCATAGGCCGGCCCGTCGCTGCCTCGCCGTGGCCCCAGTGGACGCGGGCAGGTAGCAGGCAGCGAGCGCTCAGGAGCGTCCAGCAGCGCCAGCCTGGTTCTCAGGCTCATGTGCTCCAGGCCCGGCAACGGCGTGGGCGGCGGTCCGCCAGTGGCTGCGGCGTACTTGGCGCGCAGGCTGTACTGCTGGGCGGGCGTGAGGTGCAGCAGCCCTGCGCCACCACCGCTGCACTGGCTGGCCTCGCTGGAGCGCCGCGATGCGTCAGTGGAGATGGGGTCGTAGGAGTCGGCGGAGCTGGCATTGTGCGGTCGCCCGGCGCCCAAGGGCGAGGCCTCGCTGGAGCGGCGGCTGGAGAAGTAGGGGGAGATGCCGGAGGAGCGGCGGCTCACGGTGTAGGCTGAGCTGACCGTGCTGGTGGTGCTGTCCCGGCGCTCCTGCAGGTGGCTCAGCATGGTCACCTCGCTCGCAGACAGCTCGGACCCCCGTGGGTTAGGCAGCATCCCCGCCGGCCCGCCGCTGCCACTTAAGTTTTCCAGGATGGTGCCTGCAGGAGAGGAGAGGGGTCAGTACTTGGGGTCTGGGGGCAAGGGGTGCTGTGCCAGCTGAGTCTGTGGCCAATGGAGCCCTGGAACAGGGTCTGGCACATAGTAGGCACTTAACCAATGATCTCCAAATGGAAGGCAGGAAGGAAGGAACAGTGGGTAAACAGTGGACAAGTGGAAGTCAGGAGGCCTGATCCCATTCTGAGCTCTACCACTGCTGGGCTGAATTCTCATTATGTCTGGTCCTCAGTGTCCAGCTGTAGATAAAATGTGCCTCTCCGTCACACGGGGTCATGGAGAGGAAGGGGTAAGAGGCCAGGAGGGGCCTGACAGAGCCTCCCTCACCACCTGTGGATGGATGTTGCTGGTCAGGTCCCCCTGGGCCTGGGTTTACCAAGCAGGCTGCTGACAGGAAGTGCACTGAGGTCCACACTCATGGATGGAGGAAGGGCAGCACAGCGGTCGGGAAGAGGTGAGCTGCCACGCAGGCCCAGTGACAGCTTTGGCTGATTGCATGAGGAGCTCTAGGCCTTGAATGGCCTGACATCCCTGCAGTGATCACTGAATGGGGACCACTCTGGGGAAGGGGTAACCTTGTATGAGGCAGCTGTCTGCAACCCAGGCAATTTTGGTAGAAGGCCAAGAGAATTGAAGGTCATTTGCCAGTAGTTCCCTCAATAGCTGGGGCAATAAATCCTCCCTTCAAGGGAGAGCTTTGTGGTATGTTCCTGCATCCACCACACTGGGCCATATGTTCCTGGAGGGCAGCCTAGGGGCTGAGTACCCTGGTGCCCAGCATACCACCTGGCACACAGCCAACATGCAAGAGATGCTACTGAGGACACCTTCCATCTCAAAGCCTGGCTAACATCTCCTGAGGTGTGCACAGGTATGACTCCTCCATAAAGTCCTTCCATAGCTGACATGCTTTGTCCCTCCTCTGCACTGAGTTCTAGCCTCACTACTTGGCTTTTTCTGTGGTTGAGTGTGCATGTGGGGTCATAGCCTTCTAAACAGCCTCCATCTAACCATAGGGACCTGATTATATTGCTCTCCTTCCTAGGACCTTTGCTGTGTGGCCCACAGCAGGTGCCTGAAAAATGACTGTATGACTCATGAGGAGGAGGAGGACGTGAGCAGGATCTGCCTGCTTTAAGGGCTTTCAGGAATGTAGCAAGGTATAGGACAGAGCATGGCTTTGGAACCACTCAGGCCTAGGCTAAACCTCAGCTCTGCCATTGATCTGAGTGAGGTGCTTTCCCCTCTGTGAGCCTCAGTTTCCTTATCTGTGCAATGGGCTGGTAAGATATATCCTGTTGTGAGCATCCAGTGAGATGAAACATGGTGCTTGATGGAGGTGAACCTAGTAGGTGCTGCCCCAGGCTCTCTCTTGTCCCTGCCGCATGTCTCTACTTACCACTTCCAGGGAGGGGAGGCAGCTTGGTGTTCCGGGTGTGTGGAGCTGGCCCAGCCCATGAGCAGGAATCCTTGAGCGACTTAAGCTTCTCTTTCTTGAGCTGCTCGAACCGATGCATGGCGCTTATGTGTTTGCGCAGCTGCAGGCCACCAGCAGAGGGAGCAGCCAGTGCTGAGGCATGGGCCCCTGGGGGTATGTCCTCCAGAGCTGTCAGGTCTCCCAGGCTCCCGGGCCCTGTCCCTGGCATCTCCACGCCACTGTCATTGTTGGGGGCACTGCCCAGGGGAGAGGGCTCACTGCTGCAGGATGACTGGGCCCCAGGGCTGGACTGACACAGCTACAGGGGGCATGGTAAGAAGGTGCAGGCTCAGAGGGTGCAAAGCCCCACCTGGCCCTGCACCCAGGCCTGCATGCACACCACACCCTTGTCCAGGAAACTGCCATGTGAGGGGCTTCCAAAGCATCACTGTGAGATGAGATGGCCAAGCCACTTCACTTCCCTGAACCTTGGCTTCCCAGCTGTGATGAACTTGACCTGCCTTTGAGACAGGGTCAGTAGATGGACAGAAAGCATCTGGCATGCAGAAGGCACCCAGTGACTGTGAGCCCAACTCCCAGTCACTCCTTATGTGCACTGAAGCTCTCCCATCTGGCCTCTGGGCCGGAACTCTGCTGGTTGAGTTTTCAATGCATGGACACTTTGAAGCTGTGCTCCCCAGAGTTGCCATGGTCACATGGAGTTGACATGAAAGAGTGTGCTTAAGCAACATGGCAACAGTGCTGTGCAGTGAGGAAGCGAGGGGTAATGAGAGCCTGCTGACTTCTCAACAGGCCAGAGACAAGGTGGTGGAGAGGGAAAGTAAGAGCAGGGAGGATGGACAAGCTGGATGCAGCCTTTGCCTGAATGGCCACCTGAAACTAGCTCTGCTTCTGGGACAGAAGGAGCAGGAGGGCTCATGGCACACTTAGACAGTGCCAGAACTCCACAGGACCCGAGATGCTCCACTGTGACCTGGGATCTGAACCCAGCTGAGGCTCACCTAGGATGCAGCACCTCTGGGCTCACTCCTAGGCTGGGTTCTCCCACATCCCTGACTCTTCCTTGGGGAGCTGCAAGGCTCCCTCCCACCCATGGCACCACCCACACTCCTCACCTTGACACTCAAGACTGTTTGTAGGTTGTCCTTCCCTCTTCAGCCTGAACTCACACCTTCACTCTGCCCTATCCCACATACAGGGTTGGTCCCCAAGGCTTGCTTCTGTACCTGCCAGCCTTTACCTGTTCCATGGTCTTACCTACAGAGCCATCTACTGATCCAAATCCACCTCACTAGGCCTACAAGGGGTCTGGACCAACAGGTTAGTCTCTCCCCCAGGCAGTGGCCCTCAACAAGTACCCCAGCCCACCCTCACTCACGCCAGCCCACCCACACCCCTGCCCAGCTTCTCCGCTCACCTCAGTACCGTCTATCCTTAGGGGAGGTACAGGAAAGAAAAAGAGGTGGAGACAAAGAACAGGTGGTTAGAACAAAAGGGGTGGAGGCCAGAGGGGTGAGGACACAGAGACAGGACAGAGGGGAAGGGACCCGTGCTGGTTGGAACAGCAGCCACCAGGAAGCACCCCTGGCCCTCCTAGACTGACCACCTGGGGAGTGGGCATCCTTGTCACCCATGGCCCTGCCCAGTAGAATGGGACCTGGTACAAGATGGCTTCCGTGTGAGGCCCATAGCGGTGAAGGGAGGAAAGTTGAGCTGAAGAGAGGAGGCACCTGAGGTAGCTGCAGCTGGGCTCGGGCCTAGGGGAGCTATGGGATTGGCTTTGTACACATGGGCTTGGCCTCCTGGGGATGGGGGGCACGGCCTAGGTCTCTGCTTACCCCAGAGCTCTCGGTCTTGATGGCTTTGATGTGCAGGCAGTCCTCTGCCACCTGGCTGGTGCTGCTGGCCTCAGTACTCTCCTCGGGGCTCTGGCCGCTGGGCTCAGCACTGGCCTCATTGTCTCCATTCTCCTTGAGCAGCAAGGTGCGGAGGTGCACGTCACTGCGCTGCTTCTTGGTAACGTGAGCATCTGGGCCATGCACTGTTTTCACATGCTTCCGGAGAGAGCTGGGGTCGGTGTATCGCTTGGTGCAGCCAGGGATCTTGCAGATGTAGGGTTTCTGGGAAAAGAAGCTGGCCTTCATTAAGAATGGGTTATGAAGACAAACTTCCAATGGTAGCACTCCTCATTTTAAAGCCATGCCCTGTTCTCCTAAAGCCATGGCATGTCTGGCTGGCACAGTTAGGAGCCAGTGCGCACTGGATGAGGCCACGCCAGCCCCTGGCTTGCAGGAGTGGGGCCCTGTTGGGCTAGTCTGCCACCTTTTCTTCAGGTTAAGCATGAAGTTAAGGGAGCCCACCTTTGTCTATGGAAGGAATCCAGGAAGCCAGAGCCCCTAGAAGGGCTGAGAGAGCCCAAGGAAGGAAGTCAAGTGGAAGCCTGTGGTGTCCACTTTACCTGCCTCCCAGTCTCAGCCCAACCACTCAATTGCCTGTGGCTCAGGTAAACTCAGGAAAGAATGTTTCTGAAAGCTTAGATACAAGCTGGGGACAGAGATCAGAGACTATAGAGGGAGTGGAGACATATAGCCTGGTGTGATCACAATGCTGTTTCCCCTGTGACCAGGGCACTGGGACTTTTTATGTCTGTAAGAGTGTACATACCTGTGAGACAGCACTAATGCCCCAATCTCTCTGATGAGGAAAGACAGGTTTAGAGAGGCAAAAAAACTGGTTGAAAGTCATCAGAAGCAGGATGAAAACCCAGGGTTTATCCTCAGTCCTGAGCTCAAACACATACACACCCATCCACACATAGACACACTCTTCCACATGCACATATACACACACAGACATACACACAAAGTGCACATGCACACACACTTAAAAACACATGTCCAGAGACATGCCCCTACATATGCACATGTACATAAACAGCCACATGAATACACATAAGCACAGATCCTCACATACATATAATACACATGGTGTACATCCACACCCACATCCATACACATACTGACACACATCTACACATGTACACACACACATACACACACCCCTCCAAGCCTAGCTCTTGTCTGTCGAGATTCTGAGGGCCTCAGATATCTTTGGGAATTCCTCTAACTTCTTATAAACATTGGAGGAAGTCACCTTTGGAGTACAAACTGTATCTAAGCTTTCATAAACATTCTTTCCTGAGTTTACTTAAGCCACAGGCAATTAAGTGGCTGGGCTGGTACTGAGAGGCAGGTAAAGTGGACACCACAGGCTCCTGCTTGACTCCCTTCCCTGGACTCTCTCAGCCCTTCTAGGGGCTCTAGCTTCTCAGCTTCCTTCTGTGGACAAAGGCTTCTCTGTGCTGCATTAGTTGGGGGCTGACAGCTACGGCAGGCCGAGGCAGCACCAGTGCCTAGAGCACACCCTTGCCAGTGGTCCTGGCCTTGAGGCAGGGCCTGCTGAGGCATGCTAAGCTAAGACAACAGATCAGTGGTGGGGGAGGAACACCTGGACCTGGCTGTCCAATGGCCTACGGATATCTGGAAGCCATGGGCAACATGTTTATGCATGTGTTTGTGGGTCCCTGTGCACATGTCTTGTGCACCCCTGGCCAGGGTACCTCGCTGGAGTGGGTGCGGTTCTGGTGCTTGGCGCGGTCTGAGGCATTGGAGAAGGCTTTGCTGCAGCCCTCATGTTCACACACATATGGCTTCTCCCCAGTGTGCGACCGCAGGTGCGTCTTCAGATTCTCCAGGCGAGAGTAGGCCTTCAAGCAGCCCTCAAACTGGGAAGAAGTGGGTTTGGTCAGTGAGACACCCCAGATCCACACAGGAAGCCTGACCTGCGCCTCAGCCTCCTCCCAAGTCCCTTCACTGCTCCACTCTGCTGGTGCAACCAAGAGTATGTATTTCAACATTTACCTTCTTTTCTGATTATAATAATGGCATATGGCCACTTTAAAAAACTTGGAAAGAACTGAAAAGTACAGAAAGGAAACTGAAAACCATGGCTGCCCAGGGAGAGCTGCTGCTGATATCCATGTACATCTCATTCTGATGACTTTGCAGTTCATTCCTTTTTTTAAGCCCAAATTGGGAATATAACTAGTATTTAGTTATATTCTGCTTGTTAAAATCAACAGCACATGGTGAGAATCTTCCCATATCATTAAAAACTCTTTGAAAATATTATTCTTAACTGTTTTCCAATGCCACTCCCTCATTAGAAATTTTCTGTACATTAAGATGTGCTCAGAATCAAGTCCAGAGTCCTCTGGGTCCTCTAGAGAGGTGGCCAACCTCCCTGTGCTCTGGTCAGGCTGGTCTCCTTGACCCTGCTAAGTTCTTCCTGTCATGGGGCCTTTGCATACACTGTCCCCTCTGGTGGAACTTTTCCCCACTCCCCGCTCATCTCAGCCCAGGCCTGGCTCACTCCTTCTCCATCTTTCAGGTCATCTCCACCCAGAGCATTTCTCTGATATGCTTAACATAATGCTACCTTTTTTTCTTTCTGCTCCCTAACACAATGTATAATCATCCAAATAATTTTGTTAACTGGCTTTTCCACTAGGATCCAACCTCTATGAGTGCAGGTACCTCCTAGGTCTTTTATGTGTGCCTAGTATTTAGTGCATAATGAAAATAAACATTTTTGGTACTCAAATATTTTTGAAGAGGAAGGAAGAAAGGAGAGGGAGCAAGAGAGAGGGAGGAAGGAGGGGTCATCACAAGAGGTTCTGTACCTATTCCAGAAATACAGCAATTGCATCCAATGTACCTATGACAACTGCCCTCAGAATGACACATAAACTGTCTCATTCTTCACATCCTTCCCTTTATTCTTGACTAGCCTGAATGAGCACACTTGGCTCCAAATGCCTTTTACCTGTTTCTGTAATCCAGAGCTCATTTCAGAGGGCCATGGTTTGTTACCACTGAGGTGCAAAACTTGCTGCAAATGACCCAGAAGAATCAAGACAATCTTGCAAGGGAGGACAAATTTGGAGGACTGCCATTTCCCAATTTCAAAACTTACTACAAAACTGGTAACCAACTGTGTATGGTACTGGCATAAGAACAGACAAAGAGATCAATGAGAAGGAAGTTCAGAAAAAAATCAAGCATTTAGGGCCAACTGACTTTCAAACAAGGGTACAAAGACCATTCAATGGGGAAAGAACAGTCTCTTCAACAAATGGGACTGGGACAACTGTATAACCATATGCAAAAGTATGAAGCTGGACCCCTACCTCATACCATAAACAAAAATAACTCAATATGGATTAAAGACCTAAGCGGGAGAGCTACCTATATATTTATATAAATAAAACTGTATATTTATAAACTGTAAAAGTCACAGAAGAAAACACAGAGGTAAATCTTTGTGATCTTGGGTTAGGCAATGGTTTCTTAGATAATACCCAAAAAGTACAAGCAATTAAAAAATTGGACTTCATTGCAATTAAAAACTTTTGTGCTTCAAAATAAACTATCAAGAAAAGAAAACCACAGAATGGGAGAAAATATTTGCAAATCATATATGGGTCTAGAAGAACTACTACAACTCAACAATAAAAAGACTCAATAGCTCAATTGAAAAATGGGCAAAATATCTGAGTAGACATTTCTCCAAAGATAAATAAAAGTCCAATAAGTGCATGGAAAGGTACTCAACATCATCATTACGAGGGATACACTAATCAAAACCACACTGAGATGCCACTTCATGCCCACTAGGATGAAGGATGTGGACCAATTGGAGTTCTCACACTGCTGGAGGGAACGTGAAATGGTGTGGCCTTTTTGGAAGTCAGTCTGACTGGTCCTCAATAAGTTAAACATAGAGTCACCATGTGACCTGGCAATTCCACTCTAGTTATATACACAAGAGAATTGAAAACATAGGTCCACACAAAAACTTATACACTCATGTTCATAGCAGCATTATTCATAATAGCCACAAAGCAAATACTCTTCCATCGATGAATGCATATAAACACTAGGATCCATCCATACAATGGAATATCATTCAGCCATAAAAAGAAATGAAGTTACCAAAGGGAAAGGGACTGAGGAGGATGGGTGGGAAGGGAGGGATAAGGGCAGGGAAAAAGAAAGGGGGCATTTCGATTAGCGTGTGTAATGTGGGTAGGGGCATGGGGAGGGCTGTGCAACACAGAGAAGACAGTAGGAATTCTGCAGCATCTTACTACGCTGATGGACAGTGACTGTAATGGGGTTTGTGGGGGGGATTTGATGAAGGGGGGAGCCTAGTAAACATAATGTTCTTCATGTAATTGTGGATTAATGATACCAAAATAAAATAAAATAAATAAAATAAAATAAATAAAATAAAATAAAATAAAATAAATGAAGCACTGATACATGCCATGACACGGATGAACATGAGCGGCAGCAAGCAAACCCAGATGCAAGGCCTATACATTGTGTGACTGCAGTTTTAAGAACAGAATAGGCAAACTGATAGAGGCAGGAAGCAGACAGGTGATTCTCATGGGACGGGTAGAAGAGAGAATGGGAAGTGAGTATAACAGTTTCTTTTTGGGGTGATGAAAATGTTCTGGAATTGACTAGAGGTGATGGTTGCACAACTTTGTGAATATACTAAAAATCACTGAATTGTACACTTTTTGAAAAAGGGTGAACTTTATGGTATGTGAATTTTCTCAATTACAAAAATAACTTGTCCACAAAGGTAGCATATTTCACTGACTCCTAGACACCACCAATTTTAAGACAGTCTGATTTCAGAGATATTAAAATGGTAACAAATGCATGTCTCACAATCTATGCAATACGGTAATTCATACAGAGGAGTTAGAGGCTTTAATGGCAGCCTCATCAGTACAGTACCTAACCAACTCCCCTTTTAAAGAAGGAGTCATTTCTGTGCGTTAAAAATAGGTCTCACCAATTAGTTACAAATCTGTTGACTCCACAAGGGAGAGCATCTCAAGGTCTTAGCTTTGTGATCACTTCTTTCTTTTAACTCAACCAAACTGATTTTCCAAAAAGGCTGCACCATTTTATGTTTCTCAAGCTGTGAGTCACCATGAAGCTTTTCCCTGTGCAGGGCAGACAACAGGGTGCTCCTAAGCTGGTCTCTCTGGGGCCTCTCGGTGGTCACCTCACCAAGTGAGCTGTGGCTACAGCCATGCCGTGGGGCCCACAGTCATACAGTCACAATCGCAGAGATGCCAGAACACCTGTACCACAGTTAGTAAGATGCACACAGCCTGAGAGAGCAAGCTGACATCTTGGGACAGCAGACCAGTGAGCGGCCTCAAGGACCCAAAGCAGGTGGAAGGCCCAGGGCAGGAGCACACAGGGCATGTCTGCAAGGCCTGTCTCGGCGATCCTGCTGTGGCCTATTCTACCCTGGTTTCTATGGAGTCAGCCCCGCCCAACACAACCACACCACCTGCCGGGTGGGGCCGGTCCCACAGGCACTGCTGGGAGGAAGGGCCGTGCCCGGGGTCCACTCACCGTGCACTTGTGTGGCTTCTCGCCAGTGTGTCGGCGCATGTGCACCACCAGCATGTACTGTGCCTTGAAGGGCTTCTGCTCCCGCGTGCAGGCCTGCCAGCGGCACACAAACTCCTTCTTCTCCCCGTGGATGTGCTCATTGTTGATGTGCTGTGGGAATAAGCCCGCAGAGGGCATGAGCTGGCACTGGCTGCCACTGAGCAAAGAGCTGCTGTGTGCCACTTGTCTAGGCTGTGGTTTCCAGTTAGCCCTCAGAGCCAGCCCGCTCACCCCAGGCTGGGCTCCAGGCTCTGGTCTCTGGGGAACTGGGCATTATGATGACACTCATCACCTGTGTGTCCCCAGAGCGGTTGCTCCCATGATGTCGGAGCAATGGGCCACCAAGGATTTCTGTCACAGGGACAGAGCAAGCTGCCCTGGGCAGATGCTTTGGATTTTGGTCACTTGTTTTGATTACTTAACTAAAGGTTGCAGTCCTCACTGGCACAGAGGTATAACTGCCTCTAAACTTAGAGTGTGTTGATACGTATGGGGCCTCCAGGACTTTCATGTCCTTAATCTTTTGGGTTGCTTGTCAGATAAATAAGAGTGGAGATAGGTGGTATTAGTCAATCACACAGTAGCCTGAAAAGGTATACTGCTCTTCCTGCTTCCTCTCCCACTGGGGCTTCTCTCTAAAAGGCCACCAGGGAGCCTCCTTGGGCCCATCAAGGTCCCATCCTTCCCCTTCCATCTCCCTCTTGGTTCAAGGTCATGTCCTATAGGCAGTTCCAGCTGGGCTTGCTTCTCTAAAGGCAGGTGGGGAGGGCTGAGCACTCCAGTCCTGAGGGCCCCGTTCTCCCCAGGCCCATCTCCTTTCTGCTCTCAGCTCCCTCTCCCAGCTTTCAGTACCTCCCTCTCCAACCCCTAGACCCCTACTGTCCAACACAGGAGCAATTTGCTACTTGTGGTTCTTTAGTCCTTAAAATGTGGCTGGTCCCAACTGGGATAGGCTGTAAGTACAAACATATCTTTTTTTTTCAAAGACTGAGAATTTTTAAAAAGGAATGTAAAGTATCTCAATAATTTTACATTGATTACATGTCAAAATGACAATATTTTAGATATATTAGGTTAAATAAATTACATTAATTTCACCTATTTTCTTTTATTTTTAAATGTGCTCCTAGGTCATTTAAAATAACATGTGTGGTTGCATTTGTTGCTTGCAGGGTCTTCCTACTGGATGGTGCTGCTGTAGGTGTTTGCATGCTACAAGGCTGGCCAAGAGCTGCACATCTAGGCACTACAGCAGCTCACCAGAGAGGCAGAAAACCACGAGGCCCTCATGACCTAAGGAACAGGCCCAACCGTCATGCACATAAATGCCAATGTTGGAGCAAGTAAAATCTATAGCACTTGGAACTTCAAGGGAAATCTTTTCATATTAGCTTTAGTTTCCATTTTTAAAGCCTTTCAAATGATAAAAATGCTTCTTGACAATGCCTTTCATTTTTTTCTTATTGGTTTACTTAGCAACAAATTGTTAATAATTGACTAGAGGCTCCAGCTTGCCCAGGTACCTGCTGCCATCCATCTTTCCCAGGGAGCAGAAAGACAGAGTTGGGCACAGGGCTCCCTTCTCTCACAGGCGCCTTCTCTTTCCAGGGCCAGGCGGAGGCAGTCACCTCAGTCTGCAGGACAGCCCTGGGCACAGGCAGAAGCCTGCAGCTGAAGCCTTCTTTCCAGGGCCAAATGCTCAGCACTGAGTGCATCTTACATCTGCATCTCTACCCCTTTGCCGGGGCCCTCTGTTGGCGCGATGCTGTACCCTCTCCTCCTTTCACCTACTCTGATCTGTCCTGCAACTCACAGGTCCCATTCCCCTTCTCTCTCTCAGACTCGTTTATCCAAAGAGGTGATAGGGTTGGAAAATTATGTTTGCATTCTGGAAGGGATTAAAAGGACCTGCTTCATAGTGTCTATATCAGCCTCAGTGGGTTTGCTGGAAAATTCCTGTCTTCTGGGGGAGTATGGGACAGGAAAAAACCTAAATCATAGGAACCCTCAGTATTTAGGAGCAGTTCACATGACTGCAGAAAGCAGACGGAGTGGATAGTGTCCTAAATGCTGAGTTCCCAGAGCTGAGGAGGAGAGACTCCTTTGGGACAGCTTCAGATGTGTGTGTGTGTGTGTGTGTGTGTGTGTGTGTCTACTTCACCCAGTAACCAAACTGCTAGTTCAGTGTGGGATTCATCTTCACAGACACACTCACCAAGGAATGTGTGTGTGTTTGTGGTGGGGGGTGGAGGGAGGTTATTCTTGAATTTAAGTTCTCTTCTGGATGGAGAAGCGAGGACAGCTCAGGGCTGGCCTGGGGGACAGGGAGGAGGAGGCAGGAGAGCTGTCGTGGATGGAATGCTGCCGTCCACTCTGTGCTTAGGTTGGTATCATGCTCAGCCTCCATCCCCCTGGAGTAGGCTTCATCCCCTATTAGAGGAGGAAGAACTGAGGCGGGCTCACAAAGGTTAGTCAGTGTTAGAACCCCTTGGTTAGCTGTGATGGAGCCAGGTTTAAAACCAGGCATCACCCATGCTAAGCCCTGCTCTTCCCGTGGCACAGATGACCCCTGGCTGCTGCCAAATGCTCAGCACTGAGTGCATCTTACATCTGCATCTCTACCCCTTTGCCGGGGCCCTCTGTTGGCGCGATGCTGTACCCTCTCCTCCTTTCACCTACTCTGATCTGTCCTGCAACTCACAGGTCCCATTCCCCTTCTCTCTCTCAGACTCGTTTATCCAAAGAGGTGATAGGGTTGGAAAATTATGTTTGCATTCTGGAAGGGATTAAAAGGACCTGCTTCATAGTGTCTATATCAGCCTCAGTGGGTTTGCTGGAAAATTCCTGTCTTCTGGGGGAGTATGGGACAGGAAAAAACCTAAATCATAGGAACCCTCAGTATTTAGGAGCAGTTCACATGACTGCAGAAAGCAGACGGAGTGGATAGTGTCCTAAATGCTGAGTTCCCAGAGCTGAGGAGGAGAGACTCCTTTGGGACAGCTTCAGATGTGTGTGTGTGTGTGTGTGTGTGTGTGTGTGTCTACTTCACCCAGTAACCAAACTGCTAGTTCAGTGTGGGATTCATCTTCACAGACACACTCACCAAGGAATGTGTGTGTGTTTGTGGTGGGGGGTGGAGGGAGGTTATTCTTGAATTTAAGTTCTCTTCTGGATGGAGAAGCGAGGACAGCTCAGGGCTGGCCTGGGGGACAGGGAGGAGGAGGCAGGAGAGCTGTCGTGGATGGAATGCTGCCGTCCACTCTGTGCTTAGGTTGGTATCATGCTCAGCCTCCATCCCCCTGGAGTAGGCTTCATCCCCTATTAGAGGAGGAAGAACTGAGGCGGGCTCACAAAGGTTAGTCAGTGTTAGAACCCCTTGGTTAGCTGTGATGGAGCCAGGTTTAAAACCAGGCATCACCCATGCTAAGCCCTGCTCTTCCCGTGGCACAGATGACCCCTGGCTGCTGCCATGAAGGCTGCTGCTGCAGAAGGGCTGAGAGTGGGGCTGAGGGACATGCCCTGAAGGGCACACCTGCTCCCGTGGCCTTCTCTGGTCTTCTGATCTGTCAGTACCCAAGCATTTTAAGCTGTCCCCTCCTGAAAGGGGTGTAAACAGCCCATCTTCACTCATGCACCCTGAGTCTCTGTGAATGGTCTCAAAGAGGAAATAACCAACTCCTTCCTCTGTGGGAGAAACTTTTTTCAGGTTTCAGGGTCAGGTTTGTGGATGCTTGCTGGTTTAACTTATTTCCCTCTTTGGACTGGCTGCTAGAAAGCTCAGAAGAAAAGATTTGTATGTGAACTACAGCTCAGAGCACTTAGTTTTTCATACTAACTCTACTCCTGGCTTCATTTTATTATTCCTTTCCCCTTAATTTTCTCATTTTCTTATTTTTCTTTTAATGTGCTACATATTATTGGAAGCCCCCTTTTAGGAATAGGCAGGGCATGGATACAAAATCATGTCTCCCACTTGCAGAGGATGTGGCCCAGATACTCCCTGGCATCTCTTGCTCGGGCCCCTTCTCTCCAGCAGAGGCCTGGAAGGCCCTGCCCCAGTGGGCAGGCCGCTGAGGCTTGGGGCTTACGTGCACCAGCTGTTCCTGGGAGTCGTACTCCTTGGTGCAGTCTTCCCAGTGGCAGTTGGTCTCGTAGATGATCACCTCAGCCTCCTGCTTACAGTCCTCCTTGTCTAGGTCTTCTTTGAGGTCAGCCAGCTGCTCCTGGGGAGGTGCAGAGCACATTCAGTGAGCCATGTCCACTTGGCCCTGAGGGAGGTCACTATTAGTTCTGGGCAGTCTGTGTCAAGGCCCCTGGGCTGGTACATGCATGGACACAAACTCACACATGTGTACACACATATATGTGCTCATCAGCTTTCTTAGTCCCTTTCCTTGGCTGGCTCCCACCTACCACTCTCCTGTCATACAGCTGTCCTGGGGCCCCTCCCGCCTCTCTAAGGTTGGCTTGTCATGACCAAGGTGCCCTGTCACATCCTGGGGCGTCTGACATGGATGGTAAGGAAAGCAGGAGAAAGGGCAGTAACTTTTGCTAATTTGGTTTGGTTTCCTCTGGGGGAGCCGGGGTGGGACCTGTAGGATGGGGGGCATTTTTGTTTAGTGTGTATGGGCTCTTGTCCTCCCTGGAGGCAAGAGAAACCCGGCATGCACCTCTCACTCTCACATTGTCCCCTTCTCCCTGGGGCACACAATACAACTGGATTCACACCCAGGACAGTGCTACAGACCCCCAAGACCTCAGCAAGGGAATGTGTTCCACACATTCTCTCCATATCTGTCTTCCTGGCAATAGCCCTAACATATGGGTGTTTGCATTCTCATAGAACAGCTGAGAAATGTAGGTTCAGGGGGAGGTTGACCTGCTCTCCTCAGAGCGCAGTGAATTGTGGCAGCCCAGATCTGGACTGAAGCCTCCCAGTCATGACAAGGCCCACATGTGCCGATTTCAAGGCAGCAAAGGAAGGCCCTTAGGAGAGGTCTTCACCTGATCACAGGTGCCTGGAATTCCTTTCAAGGAGAAAAAAGCCCCTGACTCCCAACCTAGCAACAGACTGAGGGTAACTGTGGTTGTTGACACATAGCTGGCCTGGGGCAGCCTCTGAGCAGGGGACACTAGGACAGGCTGGGGTTTCCAAGGGTGGGGCAATGGGAAAAGCACAGATGTGCAGGGTGGGAGGAGGGCCCAGTGAGGATCCCCGGAGGATGTCTGGACTCTCCAGGATTCTACTGGCCCTGTTGGGCAGGCTCAGAGAACAGCCAAGCACAGTCAGCTGTTAGAACAACTTGCTTTACATTTCAAACATCTGCAAACTACAAGAAATGTTTTCTTTCAAAAGAGCCTCTGGGGGAAACATTTATAGCTCAGGTAAGGGGGAGAAGCTCTCCCCATGCCTAAGAGCCGCAGCTCCACAGGCTGCTGAGACTTGGTGAGGCAGACGCCGCAGCAACCCATCAGCCTCATTGCTAATGCCGAGTCTGCTTCTAGGTGCATGGGAATTGGCTTCCTAATTCCCCACAGCCAGCAGTAGACACACCTTAGCCAACTTTCCCTGGATGCAAAGGCTCTTCTAGGAGGGGCTCCTGGCTGCTCCCTGCACTTGTTCCAGAAAGGAAAACAATGGCAGGTAATGCACCAAGTCCATGAGCAGCACCCAGTCCATACCTCGACCCCAGGTTTTCAGCAAGGGGGGCTCTGTGGGGCTGGCCCTCCTGCCTGCTCTGCACTTTCAGACAAACTGGAAATAGATTTATCATTTCCATAAACTGCATGCCCTGCTTACTGCAAAGACTTGAAGAAGGCACCAGGTTGACATGTGGGCAGAGGACAGTGCCAGGGCAGTGGATGGGCTCAGGTCTCCAATGGAGCTGGGCATCATCCTAGCCCAGGATTTGAGGGCTTGAGCAGAGAGGGGATTCATTATGCTGCATTTCCTGCCTAGGGAAAGCATGCCCACCACCTTGCAAATATCAGGCCACTGAATCAGGATACTGAGTAACACAGTGACAACCTCCTCATGATAAACAGCTTTCCTTCCACTGACACAAGTGTGGAGCCAGGAAGGAGGGACGGAGGGCTTTGTGCCACCACCCTGGATTGGAGAAGGTAGGGCGGGGGACTCTGAGGTGCTCAGGGCAACCACCCCACCATATTCTCATGCCTCCAGCACAATGACGGCAGGCCTCATGGAAACCGTGCATCATGCTGAGATGCTTTGGTGTCAACTAGGGTAGAAGAATTAGTCACCAACCCCTCTATTAGCCTGACAATAACAGAACCCAGTAATTCATAAAAATTAAGTGCCCAGAGCAGGCCCAGTGGTTTACAGTTTTGATAAAGGATGGTCTGGCTGAGGCAGGGGAGACAGAGACAGAAGGCTCCCATCATCCCTGGTGATTCTATACTAATGGATGGAGTCCAGGTCACCTTGAGAGATTTGAGGGGTGAGGCTTTTCTGTGAGGTCAGCACTCACACCAGCTCTTCGTATGACAGGCCTCTGCTCTGAGCTGGAACTGTATGCCTGCCTTCTTGGAGGGTTGGAACAAGTGGCAGGATCTCCAAAGGGACCTGCACAAGGGTCTCAGACCCACAGTAGACCCATCCTGGGTGGTGAGCTGCTCCATTCTCTACCTTCCCCCAGGAATCATCCTCTCCTCCCTCCCCACTCACCATGCCACTCACTTCCCCAAATGTGCACTGAGTCATTAGAAAATATTATTTCACAGCCACTGCATTTATAGCCCTGTGCAAACCCTAGTGATGTAGAGCCAAATCAGGCACTTCTTGCCAAGTGCCACCTCTCCAAAGTTTACAGTGAGTGCAGGACAGGCAGTGAAGTGACCCAAAGCTAGGGCAGGTGTCTGGGCATGTGTGAGCCCTGCTTTTCAGAAGGGTCAGGAAAGGCTGAAGTGGCAGTGAAGGGGATGGGATTGGGGACAGAGTTTCAGGTAGAGAGAGAAACTGGACAGGGGCCTGAGCCATTCAGGGGACATGAGCAACCCAGTTCAACTGGGGCTTGTGCTGTGTGAGGGTGAGGAGTGGTAGAGAGATGGCTGCAGCCTGACAGTCACTCATTCAGCATGCGTTTGATGAGCATGCCCTGTTTAGGTATTGGGGACACAGCTCTGGCAACCCAGCTCAAGGTGCACCCACCCCACCCTCTATGGCTCACTCATCCTCATTCCTGCATCCCAGTGGCCATCAGTTCATCTGTTCCCCAGCAGGGTCACTGTCACTAGTCAGCTGACCCAGAGGAGATGAGGCCTGGTCCCAGCCCAAGTATGGCCAGGCAGCCAGCAGGTTACCTGCATCAGGGTCAGCTGGGAGGCTGGCTGCACACCCTCGGCCTCTGTCTTGACCTTGCTGCGCTTATGAATGACGATGGGGTTGACGGTGCTGCTCACAGCTGACTCACTGCTCTGCTTGCTCTGAAGGAGAGATGCACAGGGGAGCCTGTCACAGGGGATACGGTGGGGACACCCCCAATTCTGAGGGGCTTCACTTTTGGGTCCCTACCCATATAGACCATCTGGGCCAACACTTGTGTTAGAAGTTTTTGAAGCCGGTCTTCCAGCCAGGTCCTCACACCAGGGCCATGGCTGCAGGATCAGGTGGCGTGACACAAGCTGACAGCTGCCTGGAGCCCTGGGGTGGAGAGGGAGGATGTCCTGAAAGGGAGCTGCTTGAAACTGTGGTGTACTGTCTTCCCATCTGGGTGTGATCACAGCCAGGCTCCACCCACCTGGGCAGCAACTTCACCTCGAGAATTACGGTGAGTGCTCACCAGGACCCAAGTCTACTGGGGGCTTTGTGCACACCAAAGTGCATGTGTAGGTACAGTGACCCAGCCTAGGTGCAGGCCCCACTCTGCAGATGTGTTAGCTCAGGCCGAAAGAGCTTTCAGGCAGGGCAGGGTTTGAAATATGGTCTAGCTGTCTCTGAAACCTGAGTCCTTTCTACTCTGTGATACTGCCTCTATAACTCCATTGTTCCATCTGCAAATACAACTCCATTCATCAAATATTAACAGCACCTACTGTGTGCCAGCCACTGTACTAGCTTTCCTCCAACACGTCAAAGGCCTTTTGGAAAGGTCAAATAAAATGGTCTTTCATAAACTCATGCTCTAGAACTAAACTCCACAGTATTATTATTCATTAATCGATCCACTTCACATATTATGCATGGAGTACATGCATCGTGCCAGACTCTGAATTCTAGGGTTTCTCCACCTACTCACTATGTTTATCGTATGAGCAGCTGCAGAGCTGAGAGGCTGGGCACTTGCCCACAGTAAAGGGAAGGTGGTGTCAGGACCCAGCCCCAATTTCCTGACCTGGCATCCAGCTGAAGGCCCTTTCAATCATGTGGCCTCTGCCCAGAGGCATCCTGCCAGTCATACCTGTGCCTAGAGTCCTCCCACAGTTCCTGGTGTCAGATGGCAGTGATCAGGTAAGTACCTGGTGGCCCACCCCTTGCTCCCTGCACCCACCTACCTGGTTGGTGTCGTTTAGACAGTTGCTGGTGCTGCTGAGCTGGGTGGGTGTGGCATTGATAGAGGCAAGGGCCATGGGCTGCTGGGCCAGGAAGGTGGGCGAGGGCTGGATCAGGGGTGGTGTGTGTCCGAAAGCTGAGCCGAGGCCCCTCTGCTGGCTCAGTATCTGCTGGTAAGCCATGGGGTTGATTGGGTGGGGGAAGGTGAAGGCCGGGCTGTGAAGAAGAGCCGACAAGGTAACGGAATGGAGGTGGGGGTCTGGGGTGGGCAGGGGCTCTGTTGACACTTCTTGGGAAGAGGGAATGCTGACCAGGAATTGGGGTTGGTATGTTGCTCATCTCACTGTCACCAGGGCTCTACCTTGCTTAAGAGCCTGCAGTGGCTCTCCATTCGCTGCTTGCCATCTCAGGCTTTACCCATGTGCTGCACCTGGATGCAGCCTTCACACGGCAGGTTGGCCCCCAAGAGTGCCAGGCTCCATCTCACCCCCATACTCTGGCCCTTCACTGCTCTGATGCCTGAAACACACATCTGCATCACTGGTGCCTATTTGAACCCTGCTCAGCCCCTGAAGCCAGTTCTAATGCCCCCTTGTCCAGAAAGCATGCCCTGGAACTTGCCTGGCTTTCCTAATACCTCCTGGTTTCTCTCAGGAGGGTCAGGGGAAGAACACGAGTTCCAGCCAAGGTGGCTTGGTCTGAGTCTTTAGAACAGTCAAGGGCTGCATGGAGGGGATGAGGGCGCATGGTGGTAATGAGGTTTGGGTGTATCATGCTGTGAGCACAGCGGGAGGCCTGCTGCCAGCCCAGAAATGTGGCATAGCCCAACTCAGTGTCACACCTCATGTGGCCCCCCAATGCTGGTCAATAGCCCGGCAGCTCCAGGGTACCTGCTGAGACACTAGGAAAGTCACCCTTGATTTCATGATTGAATTTTTCACAACAGGCCTGGTAAGTGTTACCTTTTACCTCAGAAATTGTGAATTGTATTTGGGGGTGAATAATGGGCACAATGAAGGTGTACTCAGAGGTTGGCATATTTCAATTTCATCATTATTGGTTTTGAATTCATGAAAAAGCTTCAAGTACAAAAATTCACAAATGCATGAAGTCCTGCCTTTCTCCTCATGTTGAAAGCCTTGGTCCTCACCACCTGGCCCCAAACCCAGCTCCCAGTTCTCTGCCCACTGCTTGCAGGCTGGGTTTACCTGAGGGTGCCTGCTGACAGGTGCCCATAGGAGCCACTGGCTGCTGAGCTGCTGCGGGAGTTGTTGATATAGGCCACCAGCGAGTTGGGCGATGTCCGGATCATCCGCTGCAGGTCAAGGCTGGCATCCGAGAGGGGGGAGATAGACAGTGCCCGCTTGCGGCTCAGGCGTGGTGTCACCCGTGGGCTGGAGAAACGTGACACTGCAGGGACAGCCAAACCACAGCATCACTGTGCTTGTACAGGGATGGAATGGGGGAAGGGAGACTAGTAGGTGGGTGATGAGAAGAGCCTTTGAGAACAGTCTAATGGGAATTGTACTTGTGCCACATTCTAGCTGCAGACTCTTAAGCAAGGGGAGTAGCCTCCCTCAGACTCAGTTTGCTCATCTATAAAATGGGTCTGATCCACATGTGGCATGGTCTGGGTTTATGTGCTTGAGTGAGTGACTGTGACCAGTGAACATATGTCAGCACCTTCACCATTAGGCATGTAGAGAGTAGGGTGGATCCAGCAGTGCTTAAGGCATGACAGCAAAGTGCACAAACCACAAGTGAACAGCTCAGTGGTCTTGCACAAAGTGAACCCACCTGCGAGGCCAGCGCCAGGCCAAGAAACAGGACATAGCCAGTGCCCTTCCAGATCCACCCCAATGTCAGCCACTACCCAGCCTTATGACATTTAGCTTAGTGTTGCCTATTTTTGAATATTTGCCTGTTATGTAAATGGAATTAAAAATAATTTCTTACCCTGCTTCTTTCACCCAGCATTATCAATTGGTAAGATTTCTCCATGCTGTTGTGCATGGTAGTAACTGGCTCTTTTTTTTTTTTTATTGCAGTGGAGAATTCCCCTGGGTAACTATTCCATGGGAAGGGAGTGAAAGGAGTTATGTGTTCCAAGGTGATGGATCATGTTGCAACTAGATTGCTCTAAAATGCCCCTGATAGGGCATTTGCTAAGCACAGATGTGGATGGCTGCCCCCAATCTCCTAGCATGATGCCTGGGCATGTGGCTCGTTGTCTGGGGTTTGCTGGATAGGCAGCCAATGGGGTGGAGAGGATGTGGGAACAGCAACAAGAAGCAGCCTGGCAACTCGAACACCAAGGACGTTCAGTTCCGGAGCTGCCTGAGGATTGAGTAAACACCCATGTGCGTACACACTACACACACACATATCCCTGCCCTACCTGACCACCCCTTGGATATGCTCTCAGCTCTCACCCATACATAACTGCAGGAAAGGAAGAGGGCCTGCCCACGATCTGAATCCTGGGGCCACAGGCTCCCCTGCTATGGCTCCAATTGCCCCCCCTTACCCCCCTCATCCCCCCTCAGAGCTCTGGGTCTCTCCTCTGGACAGATAGTGGCCTAGAAATGGTCTGACAACATCGTTGAACGACACTCCACACTCCAAGGTTTCTGCCCTGTCCACACTTTCCTGAGCACCAGATTCCTCTTTGTAAAAGGGTCTACTAGTGCCAATGACCTCCAGGACTGTAGTGAGGAGTTAATTAGATGCTGCATGAGAAGCATCTGGTGCATGGCGGGGGCCCTTTACGGCAGCCATGCCCTGCACTTGAGGATACCTGCATGGAGGAGCCTTTTCCTGTACCCACTGGCTCCCATCCCCTTTCCTTCTTCAGCGGCCCCATCTGCTACACACTGCCTGGCCCAGCCTACCTCCATGCCCATACTCACCTGCTCCTGGGCTCACACGCCCAGCTTCCTCCCTTTTGCTTTCTCAGACTGCAGGGTTGGTGTGTTGGTGTCTCATGTCCACAACTGTGGGGGCACTGAGGGCAGGGATGAGGGCCTGTGAATCTCTGAGCCCCCATCCCCAGTACCTGCCAGGCCCCTGAGAAGGATCCAGACACATTCAGCCTGGGTGAGGGAACAGTGCCCACCCCAACCAATTGATGAGGAAGCCTCACTGAGTCCCCAACCCACCACCTCACTGCTGGGCCCTGGGCACAACCATGCCCTGGCCTCCCAAGAACCCCTCATTCTTGGCAGCAAACATGGGAAGCCCTGGGAAGCCCCTGTACTGCTGGGCCACTGGGAGGACAGAGGCTGTGGAGAGGACAGAGGAGGCCTCAGGGTCTGTCTGAGTTCCATTCCAGCGAACCCAGCCCCATTCCCAATGCCCACCACTCACATGGCAGCGGACGGAGCAGAAACCTAGGAGTTGGCCGGAGGCCTCCCCCTCTGCACTACTTCACAGCTGAGTCTGCCCTGAAGCCTTCTACAGATCCCCTTTCTCCCAACCTCCAGCAGCTCAGCCCAGCCTCACCCTGCCCACCACTTGCCCAGGTTGCCCCTGGCCCTCACCTAATTGCTACCCAATCCACATTCCTCATTGCAGCCAGAGAGCTTTTCAATGTGCAAATCAATCATGTTCCTGTCCCCAACCCCATTTCCAAACCTTTTCAAAGCTCCCCACTGCTTTATTAGGAAAAAGGCCTAAATCCTCAGTGTAGCTTTCATGGTGGTTCTGTGGGTGCCCCCTATTCATGTCACCTGGCCTCCTCCATGGGGCATTTGCACATGCAGCTGTCTCTGCCTGCAATGTTCTTTCCTCCTCTCTGTGGTCAGACCTCTCAGCTGGCTCATCACTTTCCTGGGAAACCATTCCAACTGCCTCTAGCTGGGCAGGTCCCCTGGTCCTCTCTCCAAACAGGTGTCACATTGGCAAGTTTGCATCTATCTGTGCTGATGGTTTCTGCCTGTCCTACCTTCATGAACTAGGGGGCTCAGGTCCTTCCCTGTCACTGTTGTATCCCAACTCTCAAATTGGGCTCAGTGATGAGCCGAAAGTGGGAGAGGGTAAATGCTGAGCCGTTGGCACTAGCGCTGCGATGAGCAGAATCTGAGCATTGAAGGTCGGCATCTACCGAATGTTTGGTGGGCGTGAGGTGCTGTTCTAAGCACTTTAAGTATTAAGTAATTGCAGCCTCCTGACTGCCATAGAAGGAAGGGGCAACTGTTATTCCCATTTTACAAATGACAAAACAGGTAGTTTGCCCGAGGCCTCCCAGCCAGGGTAAGTACAGAAACTGATTGGAAGGCAGATTGATGGCCACCCATACCACCCACCGCACTGCCTCTGCCCAGGGTCAGGAGGAGAGGCTCCTGGTGGGGGGAGTCCATTGGAGGGGTGGGGGCTAGGGTGGACAAGCCTACACACATACCAGGTGGGGACACATGGCCTGCGCTGGCCAGCCACACCAAATCTGACACCTGGCACCTTGGAGCACATTGCTTGGCCCCCTGAGCCTCTCTTTGCCCATCTGTACACTGGGGGCAGGGCACCTTGGCAGGGTAGGGTTGTCATGAGGACACATGGGCAGCACTGCAGTGCCAAAAACTTAGCAACCTTTCCAAGATGGAACTGCAAATTGATTCAGGCTCTGTAGGAGTTAAGAGGTCTGTTTCGATGGGCAGGGTAAGACTAGAGCTAATATTGGGGTAAAGACAGCAAGTCTAGGAAAGATGACTGTGCCCCACAACAGCTCATCTGTCACCCAGAAGTCTACCCAGATGTCTGCTCATTCAGACAGCCTTCTAAGTTTCTGAGCTCTTAGTCAGTGAGTTCACTCCTGGTCAATCCTTGCTTTGAAGGAAACTCAAAGTAAGACACAAAAGTGGCTCTTTCCAAAGTCTCTGGTTACTTACAAACTGAGTGGCAACTAGAGAAATATAAGGGGCAAAACAGATCTAACATCATGTAAAGTAGGAAATATATACATCCTTATAATACATTTTTTAAAAAGATTTTGCTGCTAATACTTGGATTCCCACCTTTTTGTGTACCCCTAACAAGAGGAAACAGGCCAAATCTGACAGTGATATTCATCTGTTATTCCCGCCCCCAAGGGAAATATGTATTAAAATGCCTCTTCCCTTGATAAATTACTAAATAGAAAGAAAAGGCTGGCACTCATTTCCCGTGGCTTCTTCTGTGATTTATGACTGGGCACTGGCAAAGCCGTTGCCTCCATTCATCTATAGATGAGCCTGTTCTGGTTTCCGCAACCGCCAAGTGACCAGCCACCCGCCTGCCTCACCTGGGCGGATTGCTGCTGTTTCCCAGGGCTGTCACCCTTGCATCTGCACCGTTTCATCCACTGGCTCTTTCTTTTGCTCATTCATGTGTTGCCTCATTCACCTATCAGACACTTGTGCAGTACTGACAGTATGCCAGGCACTGTTGGGACAGCAGGCGAGGAGGACCCCTGGCCCTGCCCCCTTGAGCTCACTGTCCAGGAATTCCAGATTTGCTAGGCGTTCCCAAAATGGGACTACCCTAGGTACCCAGAATACTTAAGGGCATCGTTGCTTTCCCAGGGCAGCCAGGAAGAGCAGCAGATGTGAGAATGGGCCCTGGACTCAAGCAGACCCTGCTTGGCTGCTCTGAACTGGGTGGCTTTGGGTGAGCCACTGAACCTCTCTGAGCTGATCCTTTACCCAAAGATGGGCCAGTGGCACCCATTCCAGGGGTGCTATGGTCTAGTGGCCAGCATATCACCCGTGGCTCTGGGCAGACCTCCTGCAGACCCAGCACCCTGGGCTGAGGGCAGCAGGAAGGACACGGAGCCCAGTTCCACGGGACCTAGGCAGGACAAAAGTGGTGCCACTAGCCAAGAGAGCTGAGTCCCAGCACCATACGCCAGGTGCCACCCTTATCATGGGCTGGGACATGCCTTCCCTGTGTCTGGGCTGGTGGGCTCTGAATCCTCAGTGCTTAGGAGGCATTCCTGAATAGCCCAACCCCGTACCCAGAAACATGCTGTTCCCTCTGAAGAGATGCTCTAAGGAAATCCAGCTTGAGGACCTTTCCTAGGACCAGCAGTTTCCTAGTTCTGTGATGTAGACAAAGACACTTAGACTGCAGGCCTCAGGTTCCTCCCCTGTAGAGTGACTTCATAATGCTTGTCTCATGACTCTTTGTGCTGGTTTACCAGATGGCCCACATAATACACTATTTAGCCCATGCCTGCATACAGAGCTGTGCCCTTCAAGGACCTGGGGCCCGGTCTCTGCCTCCCTTCTGCATGTAGTCCAGGCATGGACTCCCTGCCCACTGGGGCCTCCAGCAACCCCTCCAGCAGCTCCTCCTGCCTCTCTGTGGTGTGATCAATGTAACTGGTTTCGGAAAACCCCCCTGGACCTGCAGGCAGCATAAACAACAGGCATCAGAAC